TTTTTTTTTTTTTTGGTACTGGGGATTGAACTCGGGACCTTGCACTTGCGAGGCAGGCGCCGGAACCACTGAGCTAAATCCCCAGCCTTCTCTACCTTCTTTTAGTGCTAGGGATTGAACCTAAGATCTCATGTATGTCAGGTAAGTACTCTACTACTGAGCCAAACCATCAGATCCCCTGCAGGAATTCTGTAATCAGTGGTAAGATCAAAAAGCCTGTGGTCAGAGTTTTTGTTGTTTTAGTGGTATTCAGAAACAGACTTCTAAGGTTAATATGGCAGAAGGAAACTGCCTCACAGATTCTTCTAACAAATCAACTACAACAAAAACATTACCAGGAACAGTGGCTTATGCCTATAATCCTAACACTCTGTGAAGCTGAGGAAGGAAGATCATAAATTCAAGTTCTGCCTGGGCTACTCAGCATGAGAATCTGTCTCAAAATAAAAAATTGGAAAGGGTTAGGGTATAGCTCAGTGGTAAAATGCCCCTTTACTCAACCCCCCAGTGCCACCATAAGTTAAAAATAAGAAAATAATCAGCAACTGCAAAAAATTCATCAACAGGAAAAGAAATGAGAGGCCTGGGAATTTACCTCAGTGGCACCACACCTGCCTCGCAAGCTCAAAGTCCTGAGTTTGATCCCTGGTACAAAAAAAAAAGAAATGAGAGATTAAACTTAACCAGACAGCTGGGAGTAGGACACAGTGAATATGAGATGCTTAGGTATAAAATTTAAAGAGTCACTCGCTCTTGAGGCTATACAAGTGGCAAAGCTTAAGTATTATGCCAAGTAGCAGAGCTTAGACCTTTTCACAGAGCAGGTAAAAAGTAGATTTGGAGCTTAGTGTCAGTTGAAAACTGTCACAAAAAAGCTGTGGACTAATGGTAAGCAGTGACTTAATTTGAATATGAATACAGAACAGAATTGAAGCAAATGCCTGGAAATAATTAAAATATTTAAATGATTGGAAAATACTATAGTATGAAACCAGCAGAAATAGTGAAGTGAGTAGTCCAAGCGTATTTGTGATAAAAGTTACAGCAGAGAGACTTAATAGATGCTGTCCCACTGAAGCATCAGTTTTTTTAAAATAGCCTTCTGCTTCTTAACTAATTTCATCATTTGTTACTCCTAAGGGGAAAGGATCTTTGAAGGAAGTATTCCTTATGGCAAAGACATGTTGAAGTTTGAGTGATTCCTTCGTTTTTCACTTTATTTTTTCCCCTAAATTCAAAAAAATACACTTACTATAATAAAAAAATGAAGTTACATTAATAATGTAGTCTGCTAATGTGGGAGAAATGAGGTCATGTTTCCATATACAAAATTTCAAAGTCATCTATGGCCATACCACCCTGAACACGCCTGATCTCATCTGATCTCGGAAGCTAAGCAGGGTCGGGCCTGGTTAGTACTTGGATGGGAGACAAAATTTCAAAGTCATAATTATTCTTCTAAAATATTGTGGTACACAAAGTTGACCTACATTTTATTATTTCATGTTTTTATTCTTCAGGTAGCCTACCTTATCCAGCAAAATGTTATCCCACCTTTTTGCAACTTGTTGACTGTAAAAGATGCACAAGTTGTACAAGTAGTACTTGATGGACTAAGTAATATATTAAAAATGGCTGAAGATGAGGCAGAAACCATAGCCAATCTTATAGAAGAATGTGGAGGTAAGTTACTAGCTTTTATGCCACATTTTAATACTCTTTTTTAGTAACTACATTTATTTTCTGACAACTACAGCACTTCTGTATCTTTCTGTCTTTGATAATCAAGTAATAGAAAAAGTAATATATTCTATATATAGTTTTACCCAGCCTCTTGCATGTGCTTGGGTAACTGGATTGCTGCAATATGTTGAACAGGTACTGTGCTAGCACTGGGAGACAGTGGTAAACAAAACAGTCCTTTCCCTCAAGGCATGTAGTTTAGTCTTGAAATTAAATATGAACTGATTTAATGTGCTGATTACCCTAATAGAAATGTACAACAAAATGAGATACCTAATCCATCCTGGAAGAAGCAGAAAATGACATCTGAGCTGGATTTTGAGAGATGAATAAGGATTATTAAAGTAAAAAGGGATGAAAGGTGTTCCAGGCAGAGAGAACACCATGAGCAAAGTCTGAGGTGAGATACAGCATTCAGCAAATTATAAATGCAGTTCAGTGTTGCTGAATCATAAAGTATGGGGTAGAAACTGCTAAGAGATGAAGCTAGAGATGCAGCCAATAACCAGACCCCTGTGAAGTCTTACAAGCTTTGTAGCACAGCAGCTACTTCATTCTGTAGGGCAGTAGTTACCAAATCTGTCTACCAGAGCCAACCGGAGTATAAACAACACATACTAATTTTCAGCTCTTTGTGTTGATGTATAGGCAAAATATGAAAGTCCCAAATGTCGCTATTTAAGAGAATATAAATGTTATCCCCCAAGATAAGTATAAAAGTGAAGATATTTCTGGCAGAATTTGCAAAATGAATGAAGGGAAAGGTAGCTAAAAGAGTAGAACTTGAATCAACTAAGTAGGGGAGTCAGGAGACTTGAGAATTAATGTAACGAAATAGGTAAAGTTACCAAAGTGAGAAATGGAACAACAAAAAATGATGTATCACTGTCAGGAACAAGAGATGGGGAATAGCATTAGGGATTTAATTAGGGACTATAGTATATACCAGCAAAATAACAGACATAGTTATTTTTATTACTAGATTTTTTTTTACTATGTAAACATTTTAGTTACTAAAATATATTTTTATATATTAACATAAAAATACAAGTCCTTGAGCACTGCCTACCTCACTAGAAGTAAAACCAAGGGAAAAAATTTGTGTGTGTATGTGTGTACATGTGTGTGTGTGTGTGTGTGTGTATAAATATATATTTATATTTATATTAAACTCCTTAGTGGATTCTGCCCTAAGAGTATGACAAGCCATGAGAGGATTTTATCTAGGGTAGTTATATGTTCAGATAGGTCCAGAGATATCTGGGGAATTGGGTCTTTGGGGAAAAGAGGCAGGGAGACCAGTAGTCTCCCACTGTCTCCCAGTATATAGTGGTCAGCCCACAATAAATGAAGGTAGTAATATTAGAGACAAAGAAGTTCTTGAGATTTGATTGAAGGAGAAGGAAAAAAGCTTTCTCAAGTTACTGCTGGTTGTCAACAAGAATCAGGACAGTTTAAATGAAAATAGCAGATAACAAATTATGTTTTGAAGAGTTCTAGTTTTAGAAATTTGTGAAATGTCCTTGTGAAATTATGTAGACATTTGGATTTTGTGCTTGTGAAGCTCTGAAAAAAATGAAGCTACAGATTATAAGTTCTCAGCTTCTCTGACATAAATGTTTTAATGGAAGGATCACCATTAAGAGGAGTATTTAGAAAAGAAATGAGTCCATTTCTTCCATTCCTCATGGATAGGCGATATCTCCTGAAGGAACACTATTTCAGAGGTCCTAAAATTATTCCCATAAAGTAGAACAAGACCCAGTTTGTATATCAGCAACTATGTAAGGTTTTTTAGTGTTTTTGACTATAATTTAATAAACTCCTCGGGGTTTACGGGAAAAATTCCCTTTTCTCCTGAAATACTGTGGTTGATCTTGATCATTTTTTTTAGTACACTTAACATGTCTTAGGCATCATATTTATTAATTGTCAGTATCTTCAATTTCTGTTTCATTACTTGCTCACTAGGAAAATTTGCCAAATGCTAGCACTTAGGAAAGTTTTGCTTTTTTAACAAAACGATTTTACATATCTTTATAAATATTGGTTGCATATGATTGTGCTTAATAGATACCTGTACTATGATACATTTATATATTGTTAGATACTCAGATAGTCTTTTTAGGACAAATATACTATACTTTGGTATTAAATCTTTTTATATTTATGATTCACCTATAGAATAGATTCCCAAAAATTCTAATCCAAAATTGGTGCAATGCAGAAATTATATTATATGTTTCAAGATTATTATAATTTGTCACTGCTCTTTTTAAACACTACCATTATTTCACTTCATAAAATTTCTTTCAGGACTGGAGAAAATTGAACAACTTCAAAATCATGAAAACGAAGACATCTACAAATTGGCCTATGAGATCATTGATCAGTTCTTCTCTTCAGATGATGTATTTAATATTTTTGTAGTTTTCTTAGTTTTATGTATAAACATAAGTTTGGATGAAATCGTAAGCTAAGTTATATACATATTTCTTTTATGGTAAAATTAAATTAGATATGTGTTGGTCACTCACTCATTGTATGGACAGTCACTTTCCAAACCAATGTCACTTGCTTTGATAGCATAAATATTTCAGTATTTTTAAATCCTTTGAGGATGTTTTAGCTATAGTAACAAATGCTGAGGAATTTTTTTAACTGGATAAGTCAGGCTTATTTTTACTTGAGTTCTTTATAGTTCTTATGTTTTTAGATTGATACTAGCATAACATTTATAAATTTAAAGAACAGTGATATAGCATATCCTGTAATAAATCCTTTATGACAGTAGTCAGTCCACATTTGCATATGTTGTCATGTTATTTTTATTTGGTGATCAAAACAAATATAAAATGAAAGTAATTAAAAAGATAAGGCACTATACAGTATAAGGTACAATATACAAAATATCTTTAGATTGTTACTGTATGTGTCATTGAAATTAAAGAATTCCTTTTATATTACCTGTTTGGAAAATCTAAAAGCAACTGCTCCTTAAAACATAATGTGCTTTAGGTTTGTAATTATGTGGAGTTTCAAAAAAAAATTAGTAGAGCTATAATTTTACTGTTTTTACTGTTTTGTATCATTTGTTTCCACTTACTGTTAAAAGATTAACTGGAGGATAGTAATATAGCTCAGTGGTAGAGTATGTGCTTAGCATGTACAAGGCCCCCGATTCAATCTCCAGAACAAACAAAAAAGATTAAAGATTACACTTACTTTCCTAGTTATCAGAAAAATTGTAGTGAGTACTAGTGTGTGCTCTTTCTTAGTATGGGATATGAGATCATCTCCACTTTAATACTACTACTTCATTCTTTGGAATATTTCTATCTTGCATATTCTCTTCTCTTGTTTAGTTGTCTCTTAAAAAGATTTTACAAAGTGTTTCAACTTTCTAAATGATGATGGTACATTGTTGACATCATCTAGAGCTTTCTTATCCTTTCTCAAAGGATACTGAGAGTATTACTATAATGCTATTTATGTATACATGAAGTTAATCATCACATTCTTCTCTTTTTCCCTAGATTGATGAAGATCCTAGCATTGTTCCAGAGGCAATTCAAGGTGGAACATTTGGTTTCAATTCATCTGCCAATGTACCAACAGAAGGGTTCCAGTTTTAGAAAGATGTTGTGGAAGTTAGGTACAATGCAGCACTGAGATATATATATATATATATATCCCGCTTTTCATATATCATTGGCACTTTTTATTACTGAAGCAGGTCTTTCCTCTGCGATATATGCAATGGAATATAAAGAGGTTTGATCCATCAAGCTTGGCTCATGGGATCTGCTGCTGCATTAAATCGGGAAAGAAAATGTGAAGATTTCATTTGGAATCACCGAAAATGCCCAAATGAGATCAAGATGGCGAGTGGGTGCGAGTGAGAATGAGTGGCAAAATGTAATGAAAACTTTACATGGATGCTTATTTAGGTTCAAAGTAAAAAGGGCTACAGGTCACAGATCTTCAGTGCCTGAGAAGGAACATTGACTTACTCTGTATCAATTGAGGGGAAAGTGAAGTACTGTCATCTTCAAGCCTTGTAAGCATAAAAGAGAATAGAATGCCCATATAAGTCAAGGAAATGAGCCCAGGCCTTGCTATGAAGCAGTGTGTGAATGGACAATATTGAATGAATGTCTGGCTCAGTGATAGAGCCAGGTTCATCTTTCAAATCTAGGGCTCTTCACTAATGAAGCAGACTCCTAGTCCTGGAGTGACTGTGTACGAGAGTGTGGTTGTGGTGCTGTATGTGAACGCATGCAAGCTTGATTCGCCTTCAGGGGGCTGATAACAAACCTAGTAAATCATCAAAATGAGATCACAGGTGTTAATGTACACTGGACATGAAAACAAAGACCGGTTTAGCAGCAGACATTGGTTTACTCTGCAGCCTGTGTTTTCTGTTTTCCTTCTCTCCCTCCCTACCCCCCCCCCCGTTTTTTTTTAGTTTTAGTTTTATTTACTTTACCTAGTATGGCTTTTTTAGTTGCTTCTCAAGTCAGAAAACTTCAGGAAGGTTTCCCTGTGCATTTGCACCAGATGAATGTTTGATGCTATGAAAAGCTTTCCATATCATCAAAACTAATTTGTGTAGATTTTTGCATGAAAAAAATCATAAATTTCCCTCAAAATAGACTGTGTTGCAGTACACAAGTTGCCATAATAGTATAAAACAGTAAAATGTGCTTAAAAGGCCATCCTTTTCATTTTCAGAGATAACATAAAGATCTTTGCATGAGATAAATCTACAGCATAGCTCATTTTTAGATTTTGTTGAGTCCTGTAAAGAAGAAGAAAAAGTTTCAGTTGTGATAGAATACCGTGCTGTGTTTAAATGTTACTTGTTTTCAAACTTTGTTTTCTATGAAAATGATATGGAAACTTCTAAAATGGAATTTGGTGCATATGTACTGCTGAATAAAGACCGATGAAGAGGTTTGAGTACATGTACAAATCAAGTAATGGTTTGAACAACTTTAATAATATACCTAATCTGTTCAGTTGTTTTAGAATCTTTTTATCTTAGATGTAGGCAGCCATGAACAATCTATTTTGAGCCACTTTAGGGAGAAAACTTTGTATTTTTAAAACTTGCATAAAAGTTATGCAAGTGTTTTTTATAAATTGGAATAATGCCTCAGTTTTGAGGTTATGCACACTAAATTAAATGTGACATAAATTAATTTGTAAAAATAAAAACTCTTTATAAGGTGGCTCATTGTAGGAAATCCTGTGCCTTCCCCTTTGAGCACAAGTGTTGCATGAACAACAGTTTGCTATAAGAAACATACCGGATTAGCCACCATTAGCATCTATATCTACTTTGTGTTTAAAAATCAACTGGTAATTCTGAAACACTGTAGAATGGATAAAAATTATTTTGTGATCATAACTCTTTGTTGAACTAGAGTATTTTTGCAGCATTCCTTGTCATCAGAAACATGGTTAAAGTTTAAAACTAGAAGCAGCAGAAAACTAGCTTGTAAAATTTATCCAAGTAGAGTGCAGGCTAGGCTGTCTTGGGGAAATAAACATTAAAACTTAAAGCAATGTTTTACATGGGGTGTGTGTGTGATGTGTGGATTTTTTTTTAAGTTACTGTTAAGTTAGAGTATAACTCAGTGGCTTCTATTAACTTATTTTTTCTTAAGCTTTTACCTAGAACCAACAAACAATTTCATAAGGTCTGTAATTTCAGTAAAAATATATGTAAGTATTTCGTCCTACTGAATTGGTTTGGTTGACACCATCTCTACTTGAGCATTCTCCCTGTTCAAACCAAGGTTTTAGCCTTCCTTCACTGTCCAGCCAAATCAACTTAAGAGAGGCAACTTGAGCCATATCTTAAATATCAATGTAACTTCAACATATGGCTCCAAGTAATACATTGCATACAAAGCATGATTTACAGAAGGCTGTAATTACTGAAAAGTTCCTATTTGCCTAATTCCTCTTTTTCTGTACAGTGTGGTGCAGAGTAAGCCAATGAGCTTGTAGTAGGCCAAATTATTTTATAGGATACTTATATTTAAATAGGATTCATATTAACATCTCTAAGTACAAGGGCTACCTGCTCCTATAGGGCATTGATTTTCTAATTCTAAAATAGGCTTTTTTATATATATGAAATTGTTTCAGTACAGTTTGCCTCCATTAACTGATTTAAACAACTTTTTTTTTAATTCTTTAGTGATCTAGGAAATGGATTCATTTTTAACACAAGCCTTTACATCTGATGAGGAAAATAATGGAGTAATAAGCTAAATATTCCTGACTTTTCATATCTTAAACTGCCATTTTTGAGCCCTGAGTGCTTCTCAAGTGCTATGAACATAAGATTATTAAGGTGTGTGAGAAGTTCTAATCTAAAATATAACATTAAAATACTGTTTCTGGGGCTGGAGATTTAGCTCAATGGCACCATGCCTGTCTGGCAAGCACAAGGTCATCAGTTCGATCCCTGGTATCAAAAAACGTTTCTGATTTTCAAAAACTTAAGTAATTGTGTGATATACTGGAACTAGTACTTTCCACATTGCTCTGGACCAGATCCGGAGTATTGCCTGTGGGTGAAGCTATCAACCAGTCATTAAAAGTACATCTGGAAGAGGTTGGGAATGGGGGATATCACTTAATCTTGCCTTGACTGCAATTCATAGATTTTTGTATGTTTCTTTAAAGGTATAACTGCCTTGTAAAATGAGTGAGTTTATTGTAACATTGATGTAATATATGGGAGACCATTTTCCAATTTTTTATTGCCTCATCCCTCAAAAAAGTTACAGAAATTACCCTGACTTGGTGGTACATGCCTGTAATCCCAGCACTCAGGAGGCTGAAGCAGGAAGATTGCCATTAAATTTGAGGCTAGCCTGTGCTACACAGTTCAAGGCCAACCTGAACTTCATAGCGAGTCTGTCTCAAAACAAAAAGGTTGCAAAAATTTAAGTTTTGGCTTTAAGACTAGTTGCTGTATAGGAAATTACCTCAAACGTGACATATATTTGTTATTTCTGTTTCTGTGAGTCAAGAGTTCAGTAACAGCTTAGCTAGATCCTCTGCTCGGGCCTAACAAAACTACAATCAAGGTGTCAGCCAGAGCTGCAGTCTCATTGGAATCTGGGAATCTTCATGCCTGTATGGGAGAATACATTTCCTTGTAGCTGTAGAACTCATATCAGCTTGCTTTTTCAAGGCTAACAGGAGAATTTCTGATCTCAGGGATGGCCCAAACCCTTTTAAAGGGTTTAGCTGAATAGTTCAGGTCCTTCATCCCCAGGATAATTTCCCTTTTGATTAACCCAATACCAAACTAAATAGGTACCTTAATTATACCTGTAAAATCCCTTCACCTTTACCTTCATTCCAGTCTGATCACAGGTCTTAGTTATATTCCTTTTTTTTTTTTTTTTTTGTAGCAGGGATTGAACTCTGGTCCTTGTGCTTGCGCAGCGGGTGGCAAAACCACTGAGCTAAATCCCCGGCCCCAGTTATATTCATTATATTCACAGATCTTGTGCACATTCAAGGAAGGGTGCTATACAGGGTATATATACTAGGGACTCGGGAACTGCTAGTATTCTGACGTGAGGGAACGTAAGTAGAACTGGAGCAGTTTAGAAGTGATTTCCTCATAGTGCAAGCTCATTTTTGGATCAAGGTCACCTGTGAGAACCTAATGAAAACTGGACCAGCTTCCCTCCAAAAGTGCATGTACAAGGGCCGGGGATGTAGCTCAGTGGCACCGTGCCTGCCTGGTAAGTGCAAGGTCCTGAGTGATCCCCAGTAGGGGAGGCAGGGGGTGGAATGTGTATACACAGTTTCCATAAAATTTTATTAAGGGATTTGTGGCAGTCTATAGATTGAGTATAAATGATCTGTCCCATCCCTCCTTTTCAAATGATTGAGTGGTCAAGGTGATTTGCCCAAGGTCACACAGCTATTAAGGGCCAGGTAAGAGCTCTATTTCTATACCATGCAGTGCTTCCAGTTACTGTTCTAAAACTAACTGAAATTTATTTAAATTTGTGAACCAGTGCACAAAATGGTTTATGCAGCTTTTCCTATCTTGAATATAAACAGGCTTATTTACCTTTAGTCAAAGGCAGTTACCTGAGTTTAGTTACTTAATTTGAACTAGAATTACCGTTGATTATTTTGAAGGCCTAGATACAAGTATTCTTATACCTGTTTTACTTCTTGACTACTTACTCATGTGGGCCGAATTCATTAAGTGGAAGCCAGTAGTTTAACAGGATGGAGGGGAGGAGTTTTTACCGAGATACCTGATACAGTATTAAAATACTAACAAAATCTGTGCCTGACATTTTGAACATTTAAAGAAAAAAATAAATTTAAATACATTAGTAAACTTTTTTTAAGGATGGGAACATAACTCAGAGTACTTGTCTAGCATGCATGAGACCTTCAGTTCGATCATAAGCACCACCAAAAAAAAGTTTTAAAAATACAGTAGTAAGATTGTGCATGGAGCACACATCTGTAATCCCGCTGAGATTGGAAGATTTTGAGTTGAAGCCAGCCTGGACTGCATAATGAGGCCCTGTCTCAAAAAATAATAAAATTTTGAAATTATTAAAAAGTTGCTGTATAAATGTCTAAGTCAAACTAAGATACACATTGATAGCTATAGGGCTTTTGAGGGGGAGAAG